ACATTATTAATTAAATTGATCCGATCTTCATCTTTGTTTATTGATATTTCTCTATTTTCATCCATATTTATGGTATCACCATCATCGGACTCAGGACTATCATAAGTTGGAGGAATCTTTTGTTTTTTTGAAATAATTTCAATATTTAATGGATATGAATGACGTTGTCGTTTTTTCCAATATATGATCAAAATTATAATTCCAATTATTAATGCAATAAAAACTAACAGAAGATAATTAAATTTATCATATAATGAGTTTTTTTTTAACACTTGTTTTTTTATCTCTGTTGATGGTGAACTAAGAACGAACAATTTCTTTTATAAATAATATTAAAACAAATATTGTTCTCTACCTACGAGAATGTTGAACTCAAAGTTGATTTTTTTTCTATATCAGATATTTCATCATTCTTCTTGCTGTTTAATATAAAAGTTCCACTTGTGAATATTTTTGTTGTTTGTTGATGATGACCTAGACATAAAAAGATTTTTCTTACAATTTTGATAGACAATGATCAATCAGAATGTTTATAAAATACAGAAGAATTTAAATAAAAACTCAAAAGTTTTTTTTTTTTTGTAAATAAATGTATGAGAAGAATTAGTCTTTTAAATTTAGAAGAGAACAAGTACCTTTATTTTGACTTTCGAATTTTTTTAGTAGAGTAGCACGTGCTTTATTAAGTTTTTGTGTTGCTTCTGTAGCACCTGGTGCATCTATTTTATCAGGATGTACAAGTAGAGTTAATTTTCTATAAGCATTAATAATTTGATCATGTGTTGCATCTGTATTAATATTAAGAATACTATAATAATCATTTTCTTTTTTAGAAAGTATTCGTTTTATTTCAGCTAAATCTTGTTGAGTATATCCTTTCTTCGTTTCACTTTTTGTTTGTTTTTCTTTATGATTACGAAAGAAATAATTCTCATCATTTAGTATACTTTTTGGTTGATTATTTTTTAATAATTGTTGAGTATTGAATTGTATTTTGGATGATTTACTATGGAAAAGTCGTTTAATTCTTTGATTAGAATTTCTACTTAAAAAAGATTGTTCATTTTGATGACTTTCATTAATCGAAGCGTAAACCAGGATCAATAGTAAACGAAAATATCGAACAAGAAACATGCTTCTTTTTAGTTCAAGAAAAAACAAGTTCACACAAACTAAAAAAGAAAATTATTCATGCGCCAATTTTTTAACAAGTCAAATGTAACTAACAAGTTTTATACAAGTCAATTTCATAGAATTATTCTTATAATATAAATATGCAATTTGATCCGTTTCTGAAATCTATTCAATGCATTTGTTGATTTATACTATAGAAAAACTATAATGCGATGATTTAAATCTTTTCGACTTAGACCATGTTCATTGAATGGTGACTATTGGTTTTTTCGAATCTTCGTTCTCGAGATAGCAAAATTTTATTAGATGTTTCAACAAAAAGCTGTAATTCTCCTTAGATCACATAGAATATGAAGGCTTCCTTATAGAATGTTTGTTTATGTCAAACTATTTACTAATGTATTAAGATGTAGTTTGATTTCGACTCTAAGATTGACATGAGACAAGAAAGAGATAAATCTAAACAATAATAGATTAGCATTATTCCTGCTCTTCATATATACAAATACGAAGATGTCTAAAACTTGTAATATGGTGTTATCTAAATGTACACTGTTTTTTTTTACAAAGTACATGAGATAAATATAGAATGCTTCGTCAAAATTTTAAAAAATTTTTGTTTCCTGAATATTTGTAATATAGCTTAAAGAGATCTTCAATAACAGATATATGAATCTGAACTTGAATTAAATAGCATAATAAGATATGTTACTATGTATTATTTGTCTTCCTTGTCGAACACGTACGGTAGACAACTTTTGCTCATAGCATATGTCTTCTATTAGTACACTTTTCATATGACAATTAGTGAATAGATCATACTGAACAGGACTATATGATTTTTTTTTTCTTTAATTTCTTCTTCATGAGAAACGTTGAGTAGTATACAAGATAATAAAGAATTAAAAAATTGGATCGAAATTATACAGGTTTTTAGTTATACATATCATCATTAAAAAATACATTTTAAAAATTATTTTGTGATTTACACGAAGACATTTATGATTTCAATGAGATTTTTAATTCTTTACGAAATTGAACTATACAGAAAAATATTATTCTATCCATGGAGAATAAATAATAAAAATTTGATATATTTTAATGACAAATAAACCAATAACTAGAAAAAAAAAAACTTTTTCAATACATTCATTATTTAAGAAAATACGTTCTTTTTATATTCTAGAAGATATTGAGCATGATAAGTAATGTATTCATTTCTTAGTAAATATATTTTATAGACTTTTAAAGATAAAAATATAGAACTATATTGTAAAAAAAAACATTTTATAATGTCTGCTCAAACAACAATTAAATATCCTATATTACAAGCTTCAAATTCATTATCATCTAATAAGTAAAAAAAACGTTTTTTACGGACGAAATAGAAGAATAAAAGATTACAAAAAATATTTAATTTAGTTTATTATCATCTAACCCATGTTAATACCTTCAGGGCAGAAGTACATTCTTCGTACATCGAAAGGCACATTTTGTAATAAACAAAGGTGAATGCGTTTAGAAATAATGTAAGCATGAATGGATAAGTTCATATCCGAAATGTATTTCCTGTATCTGAATATAAAAAATCATTCAAACGAAAACTAAAATGAAACATTTGATGTATCAAATATTTTATTTTATCTATATTCGAATGCATTTGATCTATATTTAAATCATTAATTACTAAAAATAAATTAATGTTAATAAACAAAAATAAAAATTGAATGTAAAAACCATAATTAATTTATTAGATTTAATATCTAATGAAAAATATTACTTAAATACAATTAAGAATAATATGCAAATAAATATTTTAGAAAAGATCGAATAATTTTTCAAGCATAAATATCAGCACTTGTCGAATTTATAATCTTAGCTTTGTTTTTTTGACTCTTTCAATTGGTAAATATTTATTTTGAAATTATGATATTTAAAAATGTCGTAGGTAATCGAGTACTAATAATTTTTACGAGATTCAAAAGAGTTCATTTTTCTAGATCAAGGTTTGAAACATGACCATCATGACTAAAAGTTATTACATTATCAATTTCGCATAATAGAATTATAATAAAAATAAACTCTTTGATTTTTATATTCGCAATGTATTCAACTTTTCTTATATATGAATGAAATGCATGACTTATTGTGATTCCATGACTGACAACTATTTTCAATTATCGTATTACGTCATATCTAAATTTTAATAATTTTTTTTTTCAATTATATTCAAAAGTCTTAACATTGAATTACGGCATTAAATCTTTTTCTATAATAGAATTTTCTTAATATGATGAGTCATGAAAAAAAATAGATAGCTCATTGAATTCAAGAAATAATATGTGTCTATAATCAGAATGGTCATGCTTCTAATAAATTAATATCTCATAGTATATATTTAATCTGTCGGAAGTATCAAATATAATTTCTATTTTATAATTCATAGGGTATATTTCTTTACTAAATTTGATGTGGGTGTCAACATCCTCCGAGGACAACATAGAGAAATTTTTTACTAGAAAGAAAATATTTTACTGTATAAATAATAATATTGAATTTTGAAAAGATTTCTTTATATTAATATGTGTAGAAAAATGATAAAAATTACAAATATGATAAATAGTATTATTGAACAAAAAGAAAAAAATTGGAATTATGGACATTTTTAGTCAATCTTTCAATGTATTTTTCTTCTTTCAATACTTAAAATTGATGGTTTTAATCATATGTCTTCTTCTGCTCTAGTGTATTTATCGATTTTTTTGATCCTCCTACATATATATAAATGTTTTAGTTCAAAATAAGAGATGTAGTTAATTATTTAAGTTGTAATGTTTGTTTTATCTTGTTTTTTGATCTTTTTCTTTCATCATTGTTTTTCGAATAAAAGTATTAACCATCAGGCTATGCATACTCTTATATTATTTCTTCTTTTTTTTTTTTTTGGTATTTATTTCAACATCTAACAAACTAAAAAAACACGCTAGAATTATAAATTTTTTGTCTACATGCACGTCATTTATTTAACAAGTATCAATTAAATAAAATTTAAAATTTGTCTTATTGATACAATACTAAATACAAAATAATCTTATAGATTAATTAGTTTTTCAATAACCAAAACACAAATTTTCGTTTGTCAGCAAGGAAAAAATAATATCAGTCTGAGAGTATTCGATCAATCACCTGTCGTAATGATACAAGACAACAAAAAGAAAAGTCCATTAATATAGATGTGAACGTATTAGGTGTGATTAAAGATATTCAGTATCTGAAGTATTTTCTTTTTTGCATTCTCTTGATTATTGTCATAGTTTTAATAGAATGTATAGTTTTCAAGGTTTAAAAACAAAAGCACAGTAGAAAAACATTCAAGAGAAAATATGCATTTTTGTAGCATTTTAGTTATAGCCTGTTTGAATATTAGATTATCTTGTTTGCATGATTGCATTAAAATTCTGATGTCTGTGATAGAAATGAACAAAACAACAAGCGTTACCGACTCATTGAATTAAAGAAAAGAAAAGAAAAAAAATATATGGATAGCCGTTCGTGTTGTTTCAACTTACAGACGGAAAAAAAATCTTATTTAATCATATCGAAATATAATAATCTCGGAAAAAAGAATTGATCTCTCAAAAATGAATAAGTTACTTTACTGCAACATTTGAATATAAATCATATAACATGCGATGCTTTCTTTACATTAGATATTCTATTTAAGAAAGAAAAAAAAATTGATGTAGATAATCATTTATTAATATTAAATAAATAGATAAAAGATATCGGATAAAATAAATATGAAAAATTACGAAAAAAGAAAATATCTTCTTTGAATATTATTACTGGGTACAAAAAAGAATTTCTGATTTGCTTATTTTTATGTTTCTTCTATCGAATAAATGTTACTATTCTAGGTCACTATGCTTCAATGCTTATTTTATCTTAGCTATAATAATAAAATGCTATTTAGATTACATTCCAGTTACTTGATTTTCTTTTTCATGCATACTTATAAAAAGATTAATATGAAATTTTTCTTAAATGGTTTATTATTTAATCTTTTATACTATTTAGAAATTTTGTTGATTAATTAATAGGATAGCGTGCACTTGTAGGAAAACAAAAATTATAATTTAATTTAACATCAGGAAAGTTTATTAGGACTTTTCTTATCGAGGGTAACAATGTGTTGCCTGACACATTTTTAATCAAATATTTTTGACATATTTCTCAATACAAGATAATCACATTGAAATATGAAAATTCAAGTTATCATTCATAGAGTACATTAGTTATATTTGATGTAAAATAAAAATAACAAATCTAATTAAAAATGATCATTCCGAATGAAATCAGTTTCAATACGGTATCGTCAATATAAATAGAAAAATAATCTTTGAACCAAGTTCCGTTTTTTTTGTGTGACCAAGCATATTAAGAATCTTTTTTTTCCAAACATGCTAGACTTCATTCTTGATTTTTTTCTTTGTCTTATAGATCATTGGAAAAACCAATCGATTCTTTGCAAGAAACTTTTATTCTTTTCCAAGAATGAAATATTCTATTTTCGTCGACCTATCATTTGTTGAATCATATGTCTGATGATTTTTAAAAATGCTTGTCGAAATACTCGTCCACCACTAAGTGTATATATATAAAATGGCATTCCACTTGCTAAATAAGTTAATAAAAGTACAAATGTAAATATTGAATTTTCTAATTCTTTTTGTGATGATGTTTTAAAATGATTTCTTGTTATTGTTAAATAAATCATTTCTATAACTTGTGGTAATGTAAATAAAATTAAAAAACTAATTTGTATAAGAAGCATGGCAAGTAAATGACGATCAATGGATTTTAATCGTTGTCGATGTTCAGTACTTATTGTTGTTTGACTTGATCTTGGTAAAAGTAACATTTGTGCTCGATAATGAATTTTACGTATATTTGACAAAGTTATAAATCCAAATATCATCATTAATATTAATGGCATTAATATAGTAAAAAATGTATAAACTTGATCAGCATATACACGACATTTGATAGTTTTACTATAACATTTTAATGGTGCATTATTAAGATTTGCTTGATAACAAAAAAAAATAGGTGAATAAAGAATTGTGGAAATAATAAGAATAAATATCATTCCACGTTTAGCATTTTTTAATTTACTTATACGTCTATAATGAATATTTTTACATGATAATAACCAACGATCTAATGTTGCTAAAACAATAAGCCATGAAGCAATTGATCGTGATGTTAAAAGTGTAAAAACTCGAGTTTTACATAACCATGTAATACGATCAGTTAGAAGAATAATCCAACCAGATAATATTCTTGTTGGAAGGCCAGATAAAATCGAAATAAGATTAAAAATTGATGAAATAAGAAATAGCCATGCACATGAATTTGAACGAAGTGATCTTTGAGATAAAACAAGTGTATTTAAAGCATTACCAATAACACCAAATATAAATAAACAAATAGAAAAATAACAATTAATTTTTGATGACGCATTATTCCATATAGAAATAAGTACTGTCGCATTTGATGACAACATTGATCTAAAGAAAAAAAATTAAAATTCTTTTTATATCGAATTCAAATTTTATTGAATATCCAATCTATTCTTTGTTGAAAAACTAGTATTAACTTTATTGATAATTATCTCATACTATACTTTAAGTAGAAATAAACATAAATAAATTCGAAAAACAGCTGATAAATACACAGATAGACATTACTAGATAATAAGAAAAAAAAACAGAAGAATATATGAACTCAAGACATGCTATCTGTTGATGCGGATATAAAAGGGGGAAACAAGCACATTTAGCAGCTATCTGAGATTGATGAAAAGAAAGGACAAAAAAAAGAAGAAGAAGATATAACGGAAAGTCAACTTCATTCTTTTTCTTGATTATTCATCAATACTCAATAGATAAACTAAAAATAGTTTCTATGAGCAATATCCTGAATATGGATTTATCTATTGTCTTTTTTTTTTTTTTTTGGTTGAAAGAGTTAATGTGAATTTTCCATAAAGGTACACAAAGTAATTAATATTTATTTAAAGAAAAAACTTTTTTATTTATTTTCAAAATTTATTCTAAAGATGAATAGTATAAACACATATTTCTGTCTTAAAAAATGCGATGTACTTGCAAAAAAAAAAACAAAGCAAGTACGAAAAATCGTAGAGATCTAATGAAAATCCCACATTACTCAGATAAACAATAAGACATTTATCAATATACTTTCTTTCTAGAAAATCAATGACATTTAAATGTTCTAAAGGATATAATTTAACGGCATGAGTTTTCCGCTTTCAATTTGACTAAATACATGGAAGAAATCATTCTGATGTATTTTTTTTATTTGATCAAAATATTAGTTCAATTAATATTTTAAAACATGCAAAGGGAGAAACAGCAGTTGACCTACAATAAATAATGCTTGTCATATTTACCTTAATGTTTTTTTAGAGAAAGAAATAGAACATATTTTTAAGTACAATAATAATACAAAAAAGGAAATATCAACAATTTGCAAGTGTAAAATAAACATTTTCTATAATGTTAATAGATTGAAAATTTTCCAAAGAAAAAAATATATAGAACAAAATAATGATATATTATTTTTCAAATTTTCTTTAAAAAGAAAAATACAAACATTTTAGAATACTATCAAATTTATTCTAAAACATTAACACTATCAAGTTAATTATGACTTTTTAGTGTACAAATTTCATTGATTTATTTTCTACTATAGAACTAATTCTATATAATTATTTTAAAAAATTCAATCTCCTCATCTATATAATTATCTGAGATGTTTGCTAGTAGAAAATTTAATAAATAGGTAAAAAAAAAAATTCGTACGAGTTTATGAAAATATATTTCATTGTATATTTCAAAAAGAATATACATCACATTCACTATTTTTGTACTTACATTTCAATTAATATCAGCTAGATAGTCTTCTTAGAATGAAAAAAGGAAAAATAATGAATCTCTGCTTAACTCTTTTTCCATTATCTACCTGTGCCGGTAGAAATAGATAAAATACTTCTATTGCAAAAAAGATCCATTTCTTCTAGAAAATCGCCTTAGGATGAGGAAAAAAAAAGATATATATATCCGCTCAAGTCCTTTCGACTGTTGTTCTCAATGTTAGCAATGTTTGGAAGATTGGTTTCTTTCTTGTGAATAATGCATTAGTTTTCATGAAAATGGATTTGAGTTACGTCTACCATTGTTTACTAAAAAAAAAGAAAGTACATTGCGATGACTTTATATGACTGTTTCTGAAGGGAACAAAAATTATTTCTATTGGAACTGGTACAATTTAGGATATAATTCACCGTTTGAAGTGTTCATTTCTATGAATCATTACTCAGAATGTTCAAGATTTTGTCAATATTATTAATTTAAAATCTTCGAGAAGAACATTATTTTGATTTGAAAAATATATTTCATCATTTTAGTATTCATTATTAAAAATCTATTTTTTTTTCCTTCTATCTTTGAAAAATTTAGTTTTTTGATGAGTCTTGTAGAGAATTCAATATTCAAATGTAACGGAAATACTGACATTCATCTATTTTTATCCTAAGCTATCACAACAGATTTGTGAATTCAAAAAACAAAAAGTTTTCATTAATATTATTATGCTAGTATCAGTTTGAATAGACAAAACAAATTAATTACTCTAATTTTTAAAGAAAAACTTTTTTTGAAGTTACTGACTGAAGAATTATTATTGTACCTAATATGTTTTGTACTTTGTATTTAAAAATCTTAATTATAAGGCACATGCTTTTGCATTTCAAGGGTATCTACGCAATACTTAAACTACCTACATTATACTTATACGTCGGTACATTTGAGTATCGCTATAGAATAAATGTGCTTGTAGTATTAAAATTAATTGAAAGACTCATGTTATTAGTCTGTTGAAAACTATGGCAAATCTTAAATTGATATTTTATTATTGTTTGATGAAAAGAATATTAATCTGGGATTTACTTGTGTGCATAATTGAAAATCGCCTGTTATTTTTTTGATACTATTATTTTCTTAATTATGGTAATAGTAACTATTCATTCCACTTCAATGATATTTTTTTTATGACAACGCTCACTTTCATCCAACCTCAAGGCAATAAATTACTGATTTCTTCACTAATTGTGAAATGATAGGATTCACAAGAAATATTAATTTAAAATCTTAGATTTCTTTTTCTATTCGTTGAAATTTTGATACAAAGATTTCTAATTTAAGATTTGCTATTTCTTGAATACATAGTTGATGTTATGACTTAAGATTCAAGCAAATGAAACACTGATTGGTTATTATACATCAATAAACTTTTTAATACATTAGGCTTTCAATTGCTGCCTCGAGGATTCATCAGTATCCATTAATATTTTAATATGAATATACATAAAAGATTGATAGTATTGATAAGACTTTTATAATTTCTACTACTGTAGATATCATTATACTTCGAAAATAGTCTACAATTGGTTGATAGTTAAATATGAAGTTCATTTAAGTAAATTATATTTATGAAGGAACTTCTTCAAAATGTTCTCTTCGAATTTCAATGAACTTTTGCCAATAGATACTACATAGTCTTTTAATAAAAGGATTTGATTAACCTATTGAATTTTTAATATGTTCATTTTCTAAGTTTTGATCTGAAACTTTGACAGTTTTTCACAGATAGTATTTACACCATACATTTTTTGTGAGTTTCAAATTTCGAAGAGATTTTGTTCATAATTTCTGAGTTTTTTTTTGTCTATTAAAACTAGTCTAGCAGAATTCATAGAAATTTGATAGCTTAATCAAGTCCTTGTAGAAGTTCTATTAGAACACTATATAGTGCCTATAGGCAAAAACATTATTGAAATTGGCAGTGGATATTTGAGAAGTTACCCTCGTTAGTGTCAATACTTGAGTACAAGTTACTTAAATAAGAATCTAAAACAAAGTAAATAAATACTAAGTACTTCTACTTACCTAATCGCTGTTTAAAACAATTAAAATTTTTAATGAAGGCGTACCATTAAATGTTGATAGATTATTTTGCAATTATACATCTTAATTCAATCAATTTATCAGATTATCTTGAATAGAAAATAATATATCAAATAATAATAGACAGATATAAAGTATAGACAATGCGAACTTCAAGCAAAATTATTTTTTATCTTTTTCTACGCATAGTTTGATAGAGCGCAAGCTGCTGGTCATGAGAAACTAGTTCTCAGCGTTTATGAATACTATTTTCAAAACAAAAAACATTCGAAAGTTTCGTTTTTCTTAACTTTCGAACAATGGAAAAATTTTTGTTTCGCTCTTTTTGCCAATCTGTACAAATAATACTTCAGATTTAGTTTTAAAAACTAATGTTCAATCGATTTGAAATTCAGTAGCATTTTGATAATGACATTTTGAATTGTATCTCTTGCAATGTCTACAGGCCGTTCTTGTAAACCTATCCAATTTGTTTTTGATTAAATGAGAAGGTCAAACATTTATCTCATTCACTTTATCATAACACCTGTCACAAAAATACGTATTGCTTTTCTTTTTATTTTGTTCTTTCGCGGAGAAATCATATATAATCAAATTTTTTTATTCGAAATCACTAGACAAAAACTGAGCCAAATGAGATATCTATTGCGTCAATTTGACAACTTTCATTCTTGACGTTTATACATAAATTTGTAGTATTCTGGCTGAAAAGTGAAAAATGAAAGTTGTCAAAGTGACTCTCAAAATACGTCATTTGGGTTAGTTTTTTGTGCTGATTTTGAATCTGTATTTATTTCTCGGATAAAAATTTGATTTCAATTAAAAAATCACTGAATACCAACTAAAAATGTTTTAATACTCATTTAAATAGGATTTCTCAGTAAGAGAACAAAATAAAAAGAAAAGCGATATACGTATTTTTGTGACGTATGTAATGATAAGTTGAATGAGATAAGATGTTTGGCCTCAGTATTTAATAAAAAAAAATATAGATAGATTTACAGAAACGACCTATAAGCATTGCAAAAGGTATAATTCAAGCCGCTACGATCAAAAGAACTTGAAGTATACGAGCAAGGCAGAAAGTTTCATATAAGAATACATTCCAAGTTTTTGATTTTTTCAAACTTAAAAAACACTGTCCATTTACCAAAAGAGCCAGTTATTCTTGATCAGTAGTTTAAACGTTATTAAACTATGTGTAAAAAAGACGAGAAAAAAAATATTTTACTTAAATTTCGAATTGCTGGCACTTTATTTTACATATAAACATATTGTTTAATTATAGAACTTCTAGTCAAATCAAATTCATTTGTATAGAAAAGAATTAATTATGTAATATATAATAATAAAATGAATAACAAAAAGTATAACTTTCATAACAAATATTCTTCATATGTCATTTCTAATTTTTTTTTTTTGTATGCCAATAATATAAACAGTCATATCGCGGAAACTTTTGATTGACATACTTCTAGTTTCATTTATGAATCTATTACATAAAAGAAAATAGAAC